TTCCAGTTCTCTGTTTTTCTGGTATTGTGAAATCTTATTTTTATTCTTATGGTACGTCCTGGTGTTGTTGCAAATCAGTAGTGGCAACTCTTACCACATTCTGTGGGCAAACCGTCACAAAGAGCAGGTCTCACCCATTTGGTCACGGAACCAAAATGTGCCCGGACTTGTTCCCTGGGAAAAGTGTTGGACCCTTGTTTTTGTTCTATTTTCACGGTCCAAATTAACTGTCCAATTGTAAACAGTATCCCAATAAACAGTATACTAAATATATAGTATGCCAATAAATAGTGTACCACATCGCCTTGTAAAGAGATCTGTGTGATATTTAAGAGTGTCCTTTCATAAAGATTTTATTTGAAACAAACAGGAACCGATTGTAAAAATAAATACATCTGTTTGTGACCGAACGGAGTCTTCCCATGCTTGCAGACTTTGTTTGGTGAAACGAGTGGGTGCAGCTTGTAAAAAAAAGATACTGCGCTCAGTACTTTTTAAACATTTTAAATAAACACGTGGGACTGCATGATGACGGAGTGGACGACGAACAATTATTGTTGATGATGTCCTTTATCTACACTGGCAAATCCTCCTTGAGTCTCCACACATTTTTAGAGGAGGGTCTTGCCACATTGCAATGTTTGGCCATTCACAAGCAATGAGTGGCTTTGCACGCATCAAGGGAATATAAAAAACAAATTAAGCAATAAGCCGCCTTTAAAACAAAACGAGTGCACAACGTAAGTAGGATGATGATACGTTTGTGAAACAGTGCAACACAAGCCACTGGGAATGGTTTCCCCAATTCTCAAATCCCAGCAAACAACTTAATAACAAAACGGTGTTTTTTTTCACACAGTTTACATTTTCACACGTTTCTCTTAATCTTGATGCGTTCCCTTTGGCCATGTCAGTGGGTGTGTTGTTTTTAAATGAAAATCATTCTGTGTGTGCGCGCGTGCGTTTGATCGAGTACACACATGCAGTAGTGTAGCGGTTAGCGAGCTGCGCTGTGAACCCGGCGACCCGAGTTAGAATCCCGCTCACGGTCAACACCAGTGACAATTATCTGAACAGGTTCTGGGCCTCCCCTAGGTCCACTCAGCCTCAAATATATATTTGATGCAGTGTAAAAACATCGCCACTCGGGAGACAAAGGCAGCCGGGCGTGGTGCTGGCCAGCCACCCCCTCGTGTGCCGTGCTTCCTTCATAACAACACTTGCCCCAGCAGTGTGTGTTGTCTATGCGGGAGATCTTTATCTTTTTTTGAGATAGAGTGCATTGACAGTCCTTTTGCACTTGATAGTGACACCTAAAGGCAAATTATTTGCAAGACGGAAATAATCGTAACGTTCTTGTCAACTAATGTGCAAAGCCATACCTACCTGAGCACTTATTTATTCCTCGTCGTGTCAATTCAACCTTCCACAGCCTGCGCTAATATAAAAAAGCAAGGCACGCTAAGAGTAACATAATTGAAACTGTAACCATGCTTGATGCGTGTTTTATGACACATGCTCTCATTTTCAAATTTAGAACGTGGCTCATTCATCCGTTGCAAAACCTAAGCGCGGAAGAAAGACAGGGACACAGGGAGAGGGAGAAAATATTAGGGTGAGCTCACTAAAAATAAATCTGCTGAAATAAATACCCCCGTGGCATTTGTTGTGGTGAGTCAAGAGAGTTTGCCAGAGACCAACAGGCAGATGAACAAACAAAGGCGCTGTTACGAGACACAGCGGACTGCATTGTTCCGTGTTTGCTCAGGACCCAGGGCTTAGCTGCAGGAACGCAAATTCCTAAACAAGCCGGGCTGGCGGCGGCCGGCCGGCCGGCAAAAAGAGGGCACGGGAACTGCGGCAGGAGCAGCTGCCGCAGCCTGGGGTGAATGAGGGCCCCCCCCCCCCCCATCGCCGTTTAAAAATTTGCCGTTCAAAATTTCACAACGGCGACCGTGAGCAGCCCTCGCTTTGGCGGTGTTGAGGGGGGGGGGGGGGCCCGGCGGGTGTGGGACCCCCCCCTCACCCAACCCACACCGCGCTTTTACGAGGCGCGCGAGATTGACGCGGAGGCGTCGCCTGACCCAGCGTTGCGCGCCGCTCGCCACCCGTGTGTGTTTATCCGATCAGCTGTCACTTACCCCACGCGCGGCTCCTTGTTTGAGGGGAAATTGAGAAATTGCTCGCCGCCGCGTCGCCGGGGCGCAGCTGACAAACTGCCTCCCCGTGACTCTTGAGCAACCAACAAGCAAACGGCCCCGGCGCCGTAACCCGTTCCTCACCCGCCGGTGCCATTTGGCGTAGCCGCAGGCGAAGCCCGTTGCAGGGTTTTCCACCTGCGCAGTTTCACCGTCGCCGTGCCATGTGAACGGTGCGCACACGTGACACACGTCCGCGGGTCGAGACATTCGGTAAGCAACCGCTGTCACCCACGCTTCGTTGGTGCCAGGCAGGATTGTCCCAATGCGGTCATCATTGGCGGGCTTTTTGGTTGGCTTTTGTTCGACTCTTCAGCCAGATGCTCGCCGCTTTTTGGGATCCCACCTCTCGCTCTGCGGTTGCCACCTGTCCTGGCTTTTCCAGGATCACCCTCTTTTTTTTATGTAGCTGTCCAGTAATCTGAGACTTCCCGGGACATTAAGAGTCACGAGTATTTTGTCAGTTGCGTAAAAATGCAGCATTCGAGACAATGCATTTACGCGTTGATCTCCGCTTCCTGGTATTGTGAGGTATTCTTCTTCCCACGGTATGTCTTATTTTATTTGGACACAATTACCCTCAGTGGTGGCAACTCGAAGTGCGTTTTTTTAAGTGTACGGAGGACCACATCCGTGATGATTCCTCAGGACAAGTTTTAATTCCTCGGGGTAAACAGGAAATATTACAAACCTACTGCGGAATTTCTTATTTGCCCAACGCCAGCCCTGGACTTGGGCACAGACAGCGAGCCACTTCGTTATAAATGGTGACAAAACAGATGAAACTAAGCTCAACGCCGATGGCCAAGAGACGTTCGGCTAAACGGAAACGCTATCGAGGCAGTGACCACGAGTGATTTAGGGAGAGGAAAGTCGAGGCAATTTCAGCAATTGCAGAAGTGAGATTGATTGCGACTGCCAAGCGGCGGGGCCAACGACTGCAGGCACAGGACGGCCTCGGTGCTTGGTTAGGCGGATGTTGTGTGAAGATGATGATGATGATATTACGGAGCCATTAAATGGAGAGCCTTGCAACACCTCCCTTGGTTTGTTGTGGAAAGCGAGAAATCATAGTTGCGAGTGATTCTTTGCGATTTTTCCTTTCCTTCGAAAAGTCCTGTGTGGAACCAAAAAAAAAACACTTGAATTAAGACACAGCAACAACGTACGCAGCCGGCCCGTGTTAATGCCTACGTTGCCAATATCTCACCTGAGCCTGTAATTACCTGGGCAGGACCCCAATACCAGGATGTCATGAAGCTAACTTTGCTCAGAGGTGTGTCGACTGTGCGTGAGTGTGTGGTTTCTTTTTTTTTTGGTCACACCACCTCTGGCAAGTTCTTTACCATTCATCTTTTTTTTTTATAAAAAAAAAACCCGAGGATTAAGATGCAACTTTGGTGCCAGAAAAATACATACGTGTACATTTTAAATTGTCTCTCTGAAGCGAGAAGAGGGATAAAACAATGATCAGGGTTTTACAGATGAATGTAGGTTTGACAGTTTGAAAGTTATCACTGCTATTACACAGATTTCACGTTGTGCTGGTAATTAAGAGGTGGCGTGGAGAAATCTGTGAGAGCCTCTGAATGCGCCCCCCCCACCCCCCCCCACCTTGTTTCCACCTGGTTTGCAAAATGCACGTCCGTCACAACGGCAACAGTGGTGGGAACGCTTCACACAGTGGCCCGCTGCCCTCTTGGCTGCTTTTGCCCTCAGTCAACAAGTGTTTGTTGCCGCCGTGATTATTATCGCAGATTTTTCGCGATGATGGATGAAAAGTGCCCGGTGGGCCCCTCGCAGTGGCTGCGAGCCCCACGGAGCGCGGGAGTTATTTATTTATTCACGTGTTCCACTTCACAATTGCCCCCATCCCAGGTGTGTCCCGCCGCTGTCAATATGAATAAAACATAAACCTATTTCCCCACCAATTAGCTCCGCTGGGCACACCTGACCGGGGAAATCTGGCAAACATGGGACGTTCTGCCCCCCCAGCCCCCCCCCCCCCACGTCCCCCCCCCCCCACCATCTACCTCCCCCGTGGGTTCCTTGTGATGCCCGATGGCATTGGCCAGAGATCGCCATTTGACACATTTAATTCCCCGCGCGTCTGTACTTGTCTGTGTGTGTGACGATGTGTGTGTGCCTGTGGGGAGCAGTAGTGTATAGTGGTTGATGCACTGAGCTATGGACCTGGTGACCTGAGTTCGATTCTGAGCCACATCTAACATCAGTGGTGATTATCTGACTTGGTCCCAGGACTCCCCTTAAATGAGTATCTGGTGCGATGGGTAAACATCAGCACTGGGGGATAGATACGGCTGGTTGTGATGCTAGCCACAACAACCCCTTGTGTGCAAATCCGGCCTTAATAGGCACTCCTTCATAACACTTGAACCAACAGTCTATTGAAGGCTATACTGGGGTAGAGTCTTTGCCTTTGTCTGTGTGTGTGGGGTGAACATTGTCAATGTTAGAGCACTATAATACAATCCCAACGATCTGGGATAGATTCCTGGCCACGCAAAATATCTATGGCATTTGGTATTCAAACCTGTCCTGGGCCTCTCCTGGGTCAACTCAACCTCAAATTAGCACCTAATTCAGTGTTGCAAACATTTGCATTGGGGTGGCTAGCATGTTAATAACCACACCGCTCCATCGTGCATCTTGGCAGCCTTAATAGATGCTCATTATTATCAACAACACTTGTCTGCAACAGCCTATGATCCTAAAGTTGGAATCTTTGTCTCTGTGCGCACGTGTGTGCGTGTGTGCGTGTGTGTGGCTGCGCCAATGCAGGCGCTGCAGGCGGTGGCTCGGCAGTATCTCCTGCAGCACCAGGCCGCGTCACTCAAGCCACAGAAGGTCAACGACAAGCAGCCCTCCCTGCAGGTGAGCCCCCCCACCCGCCCAATAGAAAACCCCAACCCTCGGGGTCACTGGGCAGCCAAAGCCAATAGGCGGCTGGCTTTTTTGTGACACAAAAACAAAGATCCCCCCCCTTATAGCCTGAACAGACTGTTCAGTTTGTGTGAGCGAGCACCTACGAAGGCCGGCACGGCACACGAGGGGGTGGGTGGCCAACACAGCGCTCGGCCACCTTTGTCTCCCCAGTGGCGATGTTTACACACCTCACCAGGTACTCATTTGAGGCCGAGTCGACCTAGGGGAAGACCATGACCGGATCAGATAATCTGTCACTGGTGTTGGCCTTGGGCGGAAATCGAACCCGGGTCGTCGGGTTCATAGCGCAGCGCGCTAACCGCTACACTACCGCACACACACACACACACACGTGCGCCTTAGAGTCACATGGGCATGCATGCACGCGCGCGCGTGAGTGCGCGATTGGGTCCGCAGGGCGATCGCGTGCCAAGGAGAAACGGCCTGTGTTTTTGTGTCTAGAGCTGCTCGTTGCGCTCGGGCGCGCAAGGGCTCGGTTTGACGAGTCGCTTTTCGTGAAACGCCGCGCGTGCAAAAAACAAAAAAATACCACGCCGCCGCCGCCAGTAAGAGGGCTGCGACCGGTGGACTGCGGCGACGAAAGCGCATTGCGCGCCCCAAGTAATCCTTAGTGTTTGTGATAATTGGAAAAAAGTGTCGTGGATTTTGCAGTCAGCTCAAAGGCGGCGGTGGGTGAAGAGTCGAGATGCGTTTGCTCTTGCTTGCCGAGGGAGCTCGTGCTGGGCGCTGCTGGAATGGAGACAGAGGCCTCCCGAAGGGCGTTTCACAGGCTGCTGGGGCAAGTGGAAAACTATTAGACTATTTTTATTTTACCAGGTAAGGCCCCACTGAGCTACGTAGCTCTTTTTTGGAAGCGACCTGGCCACAAATGATCGCCCAACGAAGTGGCTCATCACGTGGAGATGTATAGTGGCAGCCAAATACTGTTGATTCCACATGCGGAGGGCAAAAAACACGGAGGACGCGGAGAAAAAGATCCACGCGAGCATAGGGAGAGAGAAACGCAAATTCCAAATATACAGTTAATATCTCACCACCGCGGAGCCCAAGTGCTGTTAGTGAGCACCTGTTAAGGTTGGCACGGTGAACACAGTTGTGGGCATTGCCGGCGTCACGCCTGGTCGTCTCCCCAGTGCTGATGTTCACGCACAGCACCAGGTACTCGTTTAAGGCTGAGTCGACATAGGGGCAGGTCCAAGACCGGTTCCCCTGTCACTCGCCACTGAACGTGTGCGTTCTGTAACGCACACGTACATACGTGCATACACATACGTGACTCACCATCGAAAATAAATGACTTACTCATTGCACAATGAACTCATGCGCCGCTCTGCATAGATTACCAGTGCACGGCTGCCTGCACGGAAGGGTGGTCTCTTACGAATGGGATGATCTCCAACTCTGTCCGATCGTTATTGTGCAATCTATTGTCCAGACCTCTGTACCCTATCATCATCATCATCTGCCATTGTCTATCCACTGCTAGATAAATGTCCCCCCACCTCCCCCCCCCCCCCCCGCGCACCATTGCCATTCCGTATGTTCCATTGCCGCTAAGACCCATGAACCCATCCAAAAGCTCCGTCTTTACAGTGGGTCGTCATCTTTTGGGCGCATTCTCTCCTTCCATCACGCGTCGCATCCATCCTGTCGCCGGGAAAAGTGGCGATGGTGCTGGCGGGAAATTACTTTAAGAATTGCGATCGTGCTTTCGAATGTATACTCCCTCCATTTTGTTTTATCGGTATTCCATTGTGTTCGAAGTAAGGGTGCCTTGCATGGCGGATCTAGGCCAGAAAGTGGCCGCAGATTAATTCAAATTTTTTTATTTTACTTGGCTCACCCATCGGTCATCATCGTGTCCAGCGACGTGATCCTGTGGGAGCCCATTCACTTTTCTTGTTTGTCAAAGACTATGGGCCCTTTTTTTGTGTTTGTTCACTAATTCACCTATACCTTATTCCCTAAACGAGAGTGTGGCATATATATTTACGGTGGTTTCACTTTATTGCATTGGAGTCCCTAAGAGAGCAAAGTTTTTAACGAGTTGCTGTGTCCAGGTGCAACGCCCACACTAAACGCGCTACAGTTTTTAGCTTAATGCAGGCTCCACGTAAAGCGTTTAATTGCCTGCATTACTGCGGTCTCGTCGGGGTGGCTGGCTGTCTCAGGAAGCTAATGCTCTTGTCGGGGCACTGAGCCAACACTTCTGGGATTTTGGGTTCAGGCCTTGGGACGGGCACACTCAGAGATGCAAAGCTTTTGAGTTGCAATGGTGGTGCGAACGCTTTTGAGCCCATCGGCTGAGTATTTTATTTTTGTTACGTATATATCGTTTCTTTTTTGGTCTCCGGCCACCAATTTTAATCTCATCTCAACTGTGATGTTGGCGTTAACAGATGAAGTGTCCGTTTCGGATCTCTCACCGAGCAGCTGGGAGCCCTTTTTGTTTCCGAGAGAACGGGTCCATGGAAGCGGTGCGCCGTGGAGCTACCCGAGAGGTTCAACGTGGGTGGCAGCACCTACCCCCGCCCACCACTCTGCCATGGAGAGTAATGTTCTTAGTCGCATGGCAGTTAAATTGATGGGTTCTAATTTTCAGAGCTAGAATTTAGCCTAATTAAGTGGAGAACTAAATTAAAAGCGGTGGCGGGGGGGGGTTGTGTGTGTGTAGTCATTGGAGACTAGACTAAGGCCATCAACTCACTCAGCTTGAGAACCCAGTTTGATGAGAGGCATTTGAAATCTGGATTGTGAACCCAGAATCTCAGTGGTGCCAGCTTAGCGACCTATCCCCCTGATTTTTATCAAAATAAAGCGAAATGCAAACACGTTGTGCAAAATGCCATCATCACGAAGCAATGCTTGACCATTCCTATTGGCGCACCATGGAATACGGGATAGGAAGATCATTGATTTAGATGCTGGAAGAGATCACGCAGCATTTCAGCATGGGAACCATTCCTGTGCAAAGGTAGCACGGCGGCTTTGAGCTGCAGCAAGCAAAATCACATCCTCTGCAGGCACGCAGGGTGATATACGCACGGAAAATATAAATCGTAAAGTACATCGCGGTTAGAAAATACTGAAAAAAATTATATTGTTTGCAAATGAAGTACAAATAACATGTTTAGTGGAGTCTGTTTAACCCACATTAGTTCTCATTTAGCCACTTACACAGCGAGAGAAAGAGAAAAGCGAAAACCCGCTGCAACTAATTAATGTTAATTGATAGGGAGGGATGCCACAGAATGGAATTAATGACATTATTACCATCTGACAGCATTTAGTTGATTAAGATTTAAAAGGTCAGCTTTTATGAGGAATATTGATGGCACGCTGTTAATGATATCTGCTTGTGTGCTAACGACATCTTGCCCACAGACGCTTGCTAACGGCAGGCTAATGCCACCCGCACTCCTCGAACGCCGATTATCAACGCGAAACAGAGCCGCTGAAGCAATGTGCCAGGCGTGTGTACGACTTATTGAAGGCGGGGGTCTGGGCCGCTTGTTGAGAGGCAAAGGCGGTTTTTCGCCGGGCATTGATGTGCCGGGCGAACGCGAGCGCTCGGGCACCAACGGTTAAAAGCGGTCCTTCTTCATCTCCTTCGCGAATGCGTTGCGCATACGGCGCCGTCGTCAGACTCCGCACGCAGTGGCCGGCTGACACCTCAAGCTTACTTTGTTTCGCCAGTTTGAGTTGCCGTTCTGGAGATCGGGAAGACGGTCAATCGATGATTGGTCGCCGGGTTTGATGGTATCAGTCGTGATTGATCACTTTGCGGAATGGGCCGCGCGAAGGCTTCCATCTTCCACTCCAGGTGAGAACTCTAGAGACCAGGATGAGTCTCGTTTGCGCCCGTGACCTGGGGAATTAGTCCGCCAGTAGGGGGTGATGATTGCTTTGTGTATAATCCTAATTGAGACATTTGCAGGCAAATTGTTTAATTATGGAAAATTATGGGTTGTCATGTCGGCACACATTGGCCTACCCTTGCAAATGACATCAGGGGATCTTTAAAGGCTACTGTGGAGCGTGCGGTCCGTAGTAGTGTTATGGTTCTAACACCTGCAGTATTAATCGGGGGGGGGGGGCACTGAATTTGAACCGCAAACCTCTGCGACAAGTGGGGTACGCTGGGCTGTGCCACCGCCATTTAATCTGTTCGCCGTGGAGATTTGTGAAATTTCCATACACACCGGGCTGCGATTTCACCAGGAGATGGAAGTACAGCAAGTAGGTTTGTGAACTCGTCTGCATGACACGGCTCAACCTCTTGTTGATTTCATACAGACTAAGATGCTGATCCTGCCCGTGTGATTTTGAGGCATTGGTGGGTTTTTTTGCATTTCATGATTATTAGGCTGAAATTGGGGCCTGGTTAGAAAGTCAACAACCCCAGGGGGTACCCTGGCAAGAGATGGCAGGATAAGAATGGATTGAATCTATCTGTGGCTTTCTCCAGGTTCTATTGGTATCCGCTTACAAACAATCAGCAATCGAATTGGCCATACATCCAAATGTAGGGCCCTCCTCCAAAAGAGTTGTGAGACTCCGCGAGGCTTTTCTGCGTTAAAAAAAACAAACAAGTTATTATTATTATTGCTGTGCGTGGATTTATGGCGCAGTGGTTAGTGTACTGCGCTGTTAACCTGGTGACCCGAGTTCTATTTCCGTGCGTGGCTAACACCAGTGCTGAGTGGTATCTCAAACGGTCCTGTGTGATCACCCCCCTCTTTACCACCCCGCACTGACTGGGGTGGTAAAGTATAGTCAAACAACCCCCACAATTAACACGGAGATTTTCAAATAGAAGTGAGTTAAAAAGGTTGTAGGTGTATATTTTTGCACTATTATAAACTGCAGTGGCATTTAGCGTTCCCCTGTGTTTTAATTGTACGTGGTCCATATCAAGCTAATGGGAA